CAACTCTAACTCTAACGGGTTCTTAGGTGTGGATGTGTTGTTACAAACACTGTTTGAGCTAAACAATATATCTGACGGGCTGGTGGTGAGAAACGCAAAACCAAATTCAGATGCCCTAAGAGCGGACACAACAGTGAACAAGCAGGGTATTGAGTTGTAGCCTAATCCAGGAAACAACAGAAACAGGTGTCGAGCGTGTACCATGTGACCTGATCTACCGCAGATAAGCATAGATGCACACAGCGTATATGGTGTCTGTAGCCGAGCCAGGTGGTATACGGGCTGGTCACTTCCTCCACAGTATCCGTAACGGAATCCCCAGTTTGCGATTGGTCAGTGTTACTCTCACTGTCAGAGATCTCGTGTCAGTGATAGAACTGAGTGAGTCAGCAATATCCCGGCTATATGGCGTTGTAAATAATCGACTCTGTGCCAGACAATCCAGTAATCAACAGCAGGCACATCGGTCTACGCAGTTGGGTCACGATGACATATGTCAACCACGTCAGCGAGCCTAGCCAGCCGATCCCGTTAGTCGCCTCTTACGAATGGGTTACTGAAGATCACTTCTAACCCGGATCTTCACGGTTTAAGTTAGAAAGTAATTCAATAGAAGAATTTAGAATTTTCTGAATTGTTATCTTGAAATTCAAACAGCTGTAATTGTATACCTTGACCTGCAACTTAGAACCACACGAATATCCAACATAAGGCTGACGTATCAACCTGATTACATACACGTGTAAGTCGATATCGGGCTGCCAGTGTGTTGTATTAAATGGTTTGTTAAACACCATTGCATCTGCAAATATCTCATGGCAATCATTAATTTACAAACGTTTCCAAAACAGTACTGTTTGTTTATTATGTTTGTTAAAGAAACGCTTGTGGAACACTAACACGCAGCGATATGCAGGCTGCTTCAAGCCATACTCACGCATATAAATATATTCAAGACGACATCAACAGATATCAAGTGTTCTTATAAATGTTAACGAGGCACATCAGGTGCCATTTAGAATTTGGGCAAATGTACTTTTGAGGGGTTGAGTCTCACTAGATGGCTGACTTTGTAAGCTGACGATTGGGCGGATCACTCTGACAGTGTGATTTCGAATCTCGGATAGGACTCAATTCCCCAATGTAGTATCTGTACTTTATTGAGAAAGTGTAATCACAAATATAACATATGGCCACTTTCAAAATGACATTGTGTTTTCATAGCTTTCGGCCCTGGTAGGGGCGGTGGGGTAGCCTAGTGGTTAAAGAGTTCGCTCGTCACGCTGAAGACCCGGGTTCGATTCCCCACAGGGGTACAATGTGTGAAGGCCATATTCTGGAATATTGCTAAAAGCGGCGTAAAACTAAACTCACTCACTCACTCATCTATGGTAGCCGTGTCGATTTACACTATAGTCCGTCAACTGAACCTTTGGCACCCTGTTTTTCACAATTTACCTTTTAACCAAAAATGACTTCAAAATGTTTTGTGCATACGCTCTTTATATCTTATGACCTATCCAAGGTTTAAATTTCATCATTTTATGTCAAGTATTAAAGCTTCTTCTTAAGAAGCCATCTTATAAAAATATGAAAAATAGAAGTAGTTATACAAGGGAGTAAAATGATACGATGGAACAGCCAACAACACGGTGTGACACGCGTGCATCTTGTTTACATTGTTACGCCTGCAAGCAAATCTACAGGGACTCTATAATCATCATAAATCCATTTTTAAACAAGTAGATTCATTGAAGTCTTTAAAGACTGGTTGCTTGATCTCTTGTACCTATATCCAAATTTGAGCAACAGCTTGCATATGGTATGCTTTGATACATTGATGTCATGGTCTTCTTTTGAACAATATTTTCTTTAGTTTGCTTGACAATATGGATCGATGTAACCGACGCATGACGTCCCTCACAACCCTTCTATCGAATTCATCAAGCTTTGTTTTCTTTGCATTATTTGAGACGGTCCCCGATTTAACTGCCATATCAGCGTCAGGCTCTGAAATAGTGTCATGGGAGTTAACTCTTTGCAATATTCTTTTGCAGATCTTCGTGGCATTAAATGTCTTTTGGAGAAACATTCAATTAAAAAAAAAAAGAATTTTGTTTCGCTTTGCCTCGCGCTTGTAAAAGTTGTAAACTGTTTTAATGATTTGCCGGTCATCTTTGTGCACCCTCGTTTTCCCTACAACCTGTGCGTGTTGACGATCTTTGACATCACTTAAGCATGTCAATGTAAATACCCGTGCATGTACATATTGGGAATCTGTGTCTTCAATGTTTACAGTGTTTGTGAATCAGTGTCTTCAATGTTTACAGTGTTTGTGATTCAGTGTCTTCAATGTTTACAGTGTTTGTGATTCAGTGTCTTCAATGTTTACCGTGTTTGGGAATCTGTGTCTTCAATGTTTACAGTGTTTGTGAATCTGTGTCTTCAATGTTTACAGTGTTTGTGAATCTGTGTCTTCAATGTTTACAGTGTTTGTGATTCAGTGTCTTCAATGTTTACAGTGTTTGTGAATCTGTGTCTTCAATGTTTACAGTGTTTGTGAATCTGTGTCTTCAATGTTTACAGTGTTTGTGATTCAGTGTCTTCAATGTTTACAGTGTTTGTGATTCAGTGTCTTCAATACCCGTGCATGTACATATCACGCTGAGACACATTTTACAGTGTTCTTGGCTTTTCTATCAGGTTCGTTAACCCCTCGTAAAACTCTCCACAGTTTTACAATTATGTTATGACAGGTTTAAAGGCAAAATCTTTAATAATCGTTTTAAATTTACTAAAATCGATATCTTGTTAGGTCACGGTATACAATTATCATATAAACAGAGTAGTGTTTTAAATATTCAGGAGTTTTATATAAATTGTGAAAAACAGGGTGCCAAAAGTTAAGTTGACGGACTATAGGGACACAAAGTACTACCAGTGTTTGCAGACTTACATTTTGTGAACGCAGAGTAGGTTAGATCGCTGACTTTGGGTGCTGGCGATGAGGTACCTCACAAGAGTGTGGATTTGAATACCGAATGTACTTGAATCTGTACTTTACCGAGAAATTGTAACCGAAAATACAGCATAACTGTCATAATTTACCCTGGATTTATCCTAAATACTAACATGAATGAACGACTTGTTAGTCTACCCTTTGCCTGGGCTCCGTGTGGGCATCGGAGCAGCTGAAAGCATTACTATGTGTATTCCCTAGACTTCTGGCAGCATATCGTGGTGGTTCATATGCTTAACAACTCAGGAAACATGTGTCTATAAGGCATTTGGGGCGTGACCATAATGGCCTTTTTTAATATGGGTCACAGATGTAATATGTTGCTGAGTGCAGCGTCAAAACAACAAGCAAACACCTTTTGGGGAACACTTTGTATCTTAACTATTCATAATAATTAAAAAAACACACGATAGAGCTGCTTACTTGGAATCGAACTGCTTTTAGTAGAAATGTTGAAACATTGTTATAATTGAGGACACAGATTCACAAACACTGTAAACATTGACGACACAGACTCACAAACACTGTAAACATTGAAGACACTGAATCACAAACACTGTAAACATTGACGACACAGATTCACAAACACTGTAAACATTGAAGACACTGAATCACAAACACTGTAAACATTGAAGACACTGATTCACAAACAATTGTAAACATTGAAGACACTGATTCACAAACACTGTAAACGTTGAAGACACAGACTCACAAACACTGTAAACATTGACGACACAGATTCACAAACACTGTAAACATTGAAGACACAGATTCACAAACACTGTAAACATTGAAGACACAGATTCACAAACACTGTAAACATTGAAGACACAGATTCACAAACACTGTAAACATTGAAGACACAGATTCACAAACACTGTAACCACTATATAAGACACTACATAATGTAACTATGAAGTATAGGATCAATAAAATGTGACCGTGATACAGAATCGAGGGAAGGTGCATGGATTTTATGAATGATTCAGTAGACATATCTACTACCACACGCAATCTAACTCTCTCTCTTTCTCTCTCTCTCTCTCTCTCTCTCTCTCTCTCTCTCTCTCTCTCTCTCTCTCTCTCTCTCTCTCTCTCTCTCTCTCTCTCTCTCTCTCTCTCTCTCTCGATCGATCGATCGATCGATCGATTCATTTGGATTCTAGACTGTACACTCAATTTTTCACCTTGACTCGGACAATGTGTCTCCATGATTTCTCTCTGGAAAAAGACTCATTCAGAAACGTTAATTCACCAGTATTTTTGTAGTCCAGTCATTGAATTTTGAAGTGCGATTGTGAGTGAGTGAGTTTAGTTTTACGTCGCCTTTAGCAACATTCCAGCAATATCACCGTGTGGGACACCAGAAATAGGCATCACACATCGTACTCATGAAGGGAATCAAACACGAGTCTTCAGCGTGACGAGCGAACGCTTTAACCACTAGACTACCCCACCGTACGTTTACTGTTATAATGCTGCAGTATCACCAGACATCCGACTCAAACACATTAAACCGACCGATAGCAACACCAGCAGGCACCATTGTCTTTCTTACTTTAAACTGACCCTTTTCCCAAATACTCTGAATCATGATTTTCTGAGGATTAATTCAATATAATTCAGTTATGAAATACTTAAGCCACGTGTTTGTTTGGGTCATCATGCATGTACGAATTACTCCATCTGTAAGGAATAACGATAGTTCCATGATTCTTCACATCATCCCATCAACAATAAACCCCTCATGTATCTCATGTACATAAATAAGAATCTGAATGACGATTCAGAAATAGCATCCAGATGACGGACCAGGATGACGCCATTTAGCAAGATTTTACGTATGATTCATGTTATGTAACATCATAAGGTACAACGTGCCGTCATGCTGAGGGAGTAACTGCAAGGTTACCTCCCTCCCTTTAAATCCTCTCAGAACAGGCACAACAAAGAACAAAGCATCAATTACACAACGACAAACTCTGCTTCAAGGATTTATTATGTTAACTGAATCAGAGACACTCAGACGATGTACGACGGAAGATCATAGTGTCTTTCACCATCGGGAATGGATCCTGAAAACACATAAGTACAAAGTCACAAATATTACTGACATATTAAAATACATGAATGCAGCAAAGAGGGTTCTGGTGATCCTGACATAAAGATGCAGAGGTGACATTTCGTTAGTATGGTCAGCACATTTGCTTGCAATCTATTTACAACCTACTACGAAAACTACTTTTAATTGTATAAATGATTTCATTTGTTCAGTTAAAACGACAAGGTCAGGTTTTTATCTTTCATATGCCTTAGGCCGTATCTTAAAACTATCATTTTCATGACGCCCTGTACATATTCTGGGTCATGCCATGTCGCTTAAGATTCTGTCTTTGATCCAAGGCTGGGCATCCACCACAAGGTGTTGGACAATCTCAGGATATTCATTTCATAATCTACATTTCGCATCTTCATTCTGATGCAGAATTACTCATAGCCTGTTTCGAGGGAGAAGTGACTGGTTCTTAGCAGCAAACTGAAAGCCTTCTGTTTCACTTTTCAGGCCCGCCGAATTCATACAAGCGAACGACTCTGCGGGGCTTCTTCTCAACACATGAACTCTGTGCTGCAGGTCGTTCATAAAGCTCTCCCCTAAAAACTGAGCCTGTACCGATTTGTTTAAGGCACTTCGACACTTTGACAATTATGTCTGTATCGTCCAGCTGAATCATGAACAAAACCAACATCTGACAAATAAATGTTTGCGTAAGTCCACAAATGAAGTGCCTGCACTTAATCAAACCACGCCCTCCCAGCATAAATAAACGTAAACTACTGTATTTTGCCTTTTGGGAAAGAGGTGTCTGACATGATTTTACATGAGAGTGCCAATACCTTGAATGTTTGAGTGAATCGCCATCTGTATATGACAGAATCATACTTTACGCGGTGTCGCCTGTGTTTCTAGGCTTCAGTAGGCTGACGAAGCCCGCTTTTGCCTCCAGCTTCGCCCTAGAAAAAGGATTACAGCCATTGTCAATCGAAAAAACCTCAATAGAAAAAAATCACCATTCGTTGAACGGGGATGTTCAAATCATAATCTAGATTCCTAAATCTGGCAAAATCAACAAATCAATTGTTTGGTTAAAGAATATAACTTGGTGTAAGTGACGACGTATCGGATAATGCCAGGAAATCCCCAGCAGTCGCGAAGAAATCAGAAGAAACAATGTATGGAACGTCAACGCCAGCAGTCGAAAACCGAGAGAACCAATGTAAACGTCGCCAGCAAATCCCTGTTTCAGTGAAATAATGTAAATGTCGCCACGGGAATTTGTTACTGAGGATAGTCGAGATTAGGTATTCTTTTGCACTGACGTTCGGCAGCAGTGTCACTAAAGAAACAATGTACAACGTCGCCAAAGTCGGGGACAGAACCAATGTAAACGTCCCCAGCAGTCGGGAGAGAAACAATGTAAACGTCCCCAGTCAGTCAGGGAGTGTAAAACAATGTAAATGTCGCCAGCAGTCGGGAGAGAAACAATGTAAACGTCGCCAGCAGTCGGGAGAGAAACAATGTAAACGTCCCCAGCAGTCGGGAGAGAAACAATGTAAACGTCGCCAGCAGTCGGGAGAGAAACAATGTAAACGTCCCCAGCAGTCGGGAGAGAAACAATGTAAACGTCGCCAGCAGTCGGGAGAGAAACAATGTAAACGTCGCCAGCAGTCGGGAGAGAAACAATGTAAACGTCCCCAGCAGTCGGGAGAGAAACAATGTAAACGCCGCCAGCAGTCGGGAGAGAAACAATGTAAACGTCGCCAGCAGTCGGGAGAGAAACAATGTAAACGTCGCCAGCAGTCGGGAGAGAAACAATGTAAACGTCGCCAGCAGTCGGGAGAGAAACAATGTAAACGTCGCCAGCAGTCGGGAGAGAAACAATGTAAACGTCCCCAGCAGTCGAGAGAGAAACAATGTAAACGTCGCCAGCAGTCGGGAGAGAAACAATGTAAACGTCCCCAGCAGTCGAGAGAGAAAGAAACATTATGTGAAATACTGTACATATTATAATGGGTTATTACACAAGCCAAGCGGTAGAACGGGAGGTAACAACTTACGAACGTATCGAATGTTTAAGGATGTGTATGGCTGTGAAAGTTAGGTGAGTATGAGTATGCCCGGTTCTTACCGCTCTGCCTTCTCCAGATTCAGATCAGGTACTGCTCCTATGCATTTGGAAACCGGCAGATATACAAATGTGAATGTGAATGAGAGGGTATGTTTTCAGTGCAGTGAGAGTGTTGAGGATGAAAGACACGTTCTGTTGTATGGCCCTGTGTATGATGATTTGCGTGAAGGTTTATATGAAAATGTCTGTTTTAGCTATCCCAACTTCTTAAATCTCTGTGATGATGAAAATTAGTTTTACTTTTTAAACACCATGTATATTTCAGTGCCAAAACCTGCTTTTATATCTTGCAAAGAAGAAAACATATTTTATACGGATAGATTTTATACTGTATATAACTATATCATTATTTATATTTAGTGTTTATAATGCATTAATACATTAGCGTCTCATAACACTTAAAGGGTGGCTCACTTAGTTGTTATATTTTATAAGTATATTTATATATGTATTTTATGTGAGGTGAGACTGAAATAAAATATCTCTCTCTCTGTCTATATAACATATATGTGGAATTTGTGGAGATTACATTTAGACAATAAGTAGGCGTTCCCATGAGCACGAAAACAAGGGTATTTGACCAAGGCGTTCATTAAAGGTTAATTAGAAAATTCGCTATCACCTACTTCCCCTGCTGCGCTACAAACACAATCGATCTTCACCCTTCTATATTTAGATCTATGCATCAAGCCTATGAGTTAAAAAGTACTTTGGTGTCTCTGTTTCAAAGAGTTTGACGAACCATCGAGTATTACAAGGCATCGGTCAAGCTGTTAAAATAGCATATGGTGTGCATATAGATGGCATTTCAAGTTATAACGTACCAGTGTTCAGATTCAGTGTCTTCCTTGGTCATGTAACACATAGGAGTTTCGTCTGGTGAACAATTGACTTTCCTTTCCACGCGTTTGTGAAAAGTGCTACTGCAGGACAAAGTATCCTAACCGTTTGGGAACAGCTCTACCCTGCTTAGGACATAGTAGGAATCATGCAGACGATGTACATCACACAGTAATACCTCCTTGTTCATCCATGACGGTCTCCATCACATCTCTGGCGCTGATTAGGTCATCGTTCTCTGGCTGCTCAGTGTACTCATCTGCATTCTCGATTTCTGAAAAGTATGGTGTTCATGTTATGTTAAAAAACAGATTGTTGTTTTGATTTGCTAAAAAAGCAATATGAAGACATAATGAACAGTTATATCCTCCATTGCCTTATCATTGTGTGCTTTGTGGTAATTGTCGTAATTAGTACGCGTTTCTGGTAAACAACGTTCATGTTCTGTCATGTTTGTCTATTAGAATGTATGCACGTGGATAAAACAAGGACAAGTTGGTATCTTGGGACAAGGTATCTCAGTGAACAAGCCCTTTCAAGCCGCTTTAAGCAAAACCAGAAATTTTAGACCGGAAATGGTTTCCTCCACGGTACCTATGGTGGGAATCGAACTCGGATCTTCCGCTTGACTTCCCCCACTACCCCAGCAGAAGATCACACACAAGCATGAACCAAATAATTCGCTTTCAACTCATCTTATCCATATCAGAGTATATATGAAAGGCATCATACTGTTTGCAGTAGGTATATATCATGATTCACGCTTCCTCATGAAAACGAGCTGTTTTTTTCTGATTTAACTGTAAATTACATTTAAACAGTCTAGCCATGCAATGTAAAGATATAACTCCATTGCAAATCTAATGTCCCCCGCCTGATATTGCTAATAACGGCGTAAAACTAAACTCAATCACTCACTTAATGGAGTTAATCTCACAGATTTACATTTCCTTTGCAAGAAACACTTTACAAACGTCCATGTTGCACTTCACTTAAAACATACCTCTCTTTCCAAAATAGTATCGGAACCTGGATCTCACGCCGTAACAGCGAGATAGCCGCCTTGCTGCACTATAGATACAGGATGTAGTTCTTCTCCAGTACATCCTGATCCGGTAGTTGCGGTAGTGGCGGTAGCTGTAGATTGCATCAGTGTGTATCGCCAGCAGACACACCAGCAGAGCCGCTACAAGTATCACCTTCATCACGTCTACGTAACAAAGAAACATCAGCATAATTATATATATTTGCATGTGGCAGAGTGTGTAGTGACTTTCTTTCGAGGGGAGATTGGTTGCCTCGCTCATACGATCTTAAGAGTGACGTCCCTATGATGCAGAACTCCGTCCAATGCTTGCCACTTAAACATTATACTACTAGTAGTAGGCCTCAGAGGGTTAAGTCCGTTGTCTAAACTACCACTCGTCCGACTTTCATTTCTGTGGAAGCCGCGGAGGCTGTGTCCGTTAGGCGGCTGACTTTGTGTGCTGGCGATTAGGTGCCTTACTCTGAGGGTTTGGCTGCGACCCCCTGTGGGCCTCGACTTAACAAACGTACTAGAATCTATAGTTTACTGAGAAAGTGTAATCCCAAATATAACATGTTGATACATTTGATCACTTTGTAATTGGCATTGTGCATACATAAGTTCAAATATAGATTACATTTCATCTCGGCGTACAGAAAGCAACGGGTTATGTAAAACTGGAACACAATAAAGTACACAGACGCAGCGTAAAGACTAGTTGATTTTGAAGTCTTTTGTAGTTTCAAAATGGCGTAAAACACAAACACCACCCTACAAGTCCTACTTAATGGTTATGATATTCTTTCATATTAACTAAATACTCTCTGTTTAATTAAAGTTCTATTCATTCCATCCGTCCGTCAGGCGCATTAAGCATCAATTATGTTTGCTTTTAGTTATTATGGGTCAAAACAGTTTAAAGCGCTGAATGTGGATTTGAACTCGCATCTTGAACCTAGGCTATGTAATTTCACCTGTTAAGAGTGAAGTTTACTCCCTTTGTTTGTTTTTTTTCCGGTCTGATTCTGGAAGCGCCGAGATGATTGTAGTGCTGCATGGCTTTTGTTAGAAAAGTCTAAAACTGTATAATAGGTATATAAGGGATGGTTGTTGAGATGTATGGGAGGGACTTCTTTCGATTTACGCTCATCTGTCCACTAATATCGACGTTTCAAGAGGCCTCGTCTACATTGATCTTTCAACAGCTGACAACAAACTTCAATCAGTACATCTACAAGAATCAAGACTTTGGATCTATAGACATACAGTTACTAGTTTAGATTTATGACCCAATCGAGTCTGTGTTTTATTTTGCCGGTTAAAACAGGACTTACAAGCCTTTTGTCTCAGTGATTTCTAACCCGTAACAAATACAGTTCCATTTATTCCATCCATCCGTCAGATGCATTGAGCATCATTTATGACAAACTTATAAACTTACAGCTTACAAACGACATTGTAAAGAAGACTGGTGTACCTTCCCATAAACCAACTTCCAGCAGTTGACGATTTTATCCAACATTTCAACATGATCAAAGTGTCCAGAGCATGCCACATACCGGGACATAGGTGTAATCCACCATGCTTTCTACCGAGAGTTCAAACAGCGATAAACGCCTGCTGCTCAGAACTTGTTTGTTCAGGGATGCAACAAACAAGTAAAGCTCTTCAAAGCCACAGTAAAGCTCTTCAAAATATATGAACTGATGTGAGATAAAACTATAGTATATTCTTACTCTTGCATGTTTATCAAAAAGGTCAACTTTGTCTTTCTTCATCTACGTTTATTCCTAAATGTTTCTGAAGCAAAGTGACTGGATTTGCATAACGTTAGAACTATCAACAAGTGGTCTATTTTCGGTAATTCATTCACCTTTCCTTATTTTTTTTCTATTTCTTTTTTTTACTTTTTTCGGTCCGCTTACTTGCTAGATGATGTCGAAGATAGAAACGCCTACTGTGAAAAATACAGACGGCCTTAGAAAAAGAGACCAGGAAGCTGTGGATCCTAAGCATGTGGTTGCCGACGACCACAGATTCATACAAGGATCCTTGGCCTGGCGTACCTTTAGTGAGACACACAAGGAACTCAGTCTCTGTGCTAAACATTTTTCCGCCTGGACCGTTAAAATGCCAGATAGAAACACAAACAACTTCATTTGTGAACTTACACATTGAACTCCATCTCCAAGAGTATACCTAAAATCACGAACTTAAAGTATTCATGCTCTATACATCAATTACTGGCTTGTCTGGTATAGATACAATGTATTTGATTACCACAGTCATTGTGCTGAGTTAAACGTTAAACAGGAAGGGTTAATTGGTATTAAGCTTTGAACAGTGCTTAGCAGCAAATGTAATGGTACATATGACTAGTCACAAGATGCCTAAGTGCCAACAATGCAAAGAATGTAGATAACGCAAACTGTTCTCATCAAGAGCTTCGATTCTTGAACTATATTATTCCATATATTATAATGTATTTTAAGGTGTTTACCTAAAACTGTCAAATCTCTTGTTGGTACTTATTGTCACTTTGTCACACGCCTAAGCTTTTGAAATCACCGGTTGCAGTATAATCGCCCATATTTGTAATAAAAGCATTTGAGTCTTATATAACCTCATTCTAAATTTTATTCTTAATGTTTTGCATAATGCGTTTTATATGTTTTTCAGATTAAAGATATTATGCAGAGAGAGGGTTCGGGTGATCCTGGCACAGTCAGGCTGGTAAGGTTCATCATCAGCTCAGGGCCCTTGCCCCCTCTACACGCAGCCCAGACAGCGAATGGGACTTCTCCCAGGAAACACTGCCTAGTCGAACCCACCAAGAACTTTCCGGAAAATATGAAGGCTCCCCAACACTGCAGCCTTCCGCATTACCCAGCGTGTCAGAAGGGTTGTGCTCCTGGTGGAGTACTCGGGCACTCTCATGATCTGCACCAAGAGATCAGGAGGTACCAAACCAAGGGCACTGAGAACAATGGGGAGCCTGACCACAGTGTACTTGGGATGTAAGTTAAACATTTTAAAGGCGAGGTCCGCATATGTTGCATGCTTTTCCTGAATCTTGCCAATCACATTGCTGTCAAAAAGGGACAGAAAATTCAATACCATAAACATTGGCTTTATCAAAAAGGACAAGATCAGGTTTGTTGGCTGGAATTCTTCGGAGACTGTATATTGACCTATTCCAAAGACGTTTAAAAGCATCATTTTCCATGACGCCCTGGACATGTTCACGGTCGTACTATGGGTGAACCTCGGACTCAAAGCCACAGGCATGGTGAAGACGGTAGTATATTAAGCAACGAGCCATGCCGTCATGTCGTTTAAGATATGCTGTTTGTGCCAAGGAGAGGCATCCACTGACGAGGTGTTGGACAGTCTCTGTTAATTCATTGCACAATCGACATTTCATGCAAATGTTTTCTTCAAGAATCACATTTAGGCGATTGCGAGTGGGAAGTGACTGGTCCTGAGCAGCAAAAAGGAAGCCCTCAGTTTCACATTTTAGACCAGCCGACTTCTTCCAGGCGAAGGAGTCGGTTGGATTGCTATTCTGTTCCACACACAGCATGTACGCACGATGCATGTACACACGATGCATGTACACACACAGCATGTAGACACGATGCATGTACACACACAGCATGTACACACGATGCATGTACACACACAGCATGTACACACGATGCATGTACACACAGCATGTACACACGATGCATGTACACACAACATGTACACACGATGCATGTACACACATGTACACACGATGCATGTACACACACAGCATGTACACACGATGCATGTACACACACGATGCATGTACACACGATGCATGTACACACGAAGCATGTACACACGATGCGATTTATGAATTATTGCTATTATTATTGACATGAGAGCAGTATTTAAAGAGATGAAGGCTGTCGAAAGATCTATGCGCGACAGAAAATATGCTTAAATGACAATAATATGTCCTTCAACGAACAATAACTTGAGTAAACAGCTCAAACCATAGACTAAACATAGAAGGACAAGGTTTTTTGGAACTGTTTCCTGTATCCACTGGAAGCAAAAGTCTTCAACATAATCGAAATAGGATACCGTTTGTGATATATGGTAATGAAGGAGACTTATCGCATGGCAAAGACACAAATATAAACCACGCACGTGTCCAAGTTAGGGGGTTAAAATATTCCAAACATGTTTAGTACTGTTTAGAGTTCGTGTGCAACACTTGCCATACATAGGCGTGCATACAGATGATAGACAAAACAAAGGCATACATAAAGACAATAGACGAAACAAAGGCGTGCATAGAGATAATAGACAAAACAAAGGTGTACATATAGATATTAGAGAAAACAGAGGCGTACATATAGATGATAGACAAAACAAAGGCGTACATAAAGACAATAGACAAAACAAAGGCGTACAAATACATAATAGACAAAACAAAGGAGTACATATAGATATTAGACAAAACAAAAGCGTACATATAGAAGATAGACAAACCAAAGTCGTACACATAAATTATATACAAAACAAAGGCCTACATAGAGATAACAGACAAAACAGAAGCATACATGTAGATGGTAGACAAAGCAAAGGCGTAAATATAAATAATAGACAAAACAAAGGCGTACACATAGATATGAGACAAAAAAAAGGCATAAATATAGATAATAGACAAAATAAAGGCATAAATATAGATAATAGACAAAATAAAGGCATACATATAGATAATAGACAAAACAAAGGCGTGCGTATAGATAATAGACAAAACAAAGGCATACATATAGATAATAGACAAAACAACGGCATACATATAGATAATAGGCAAAACAAAGGCATACATATAGATAATAGACAAAACAAAGGCGTGCGTATAGATAATAGACAAAACAAAGGTGTACATATAGATGATGGACGAAACAAGGTCATACATATAGATAATAGACAAAACAATGGCATACATATAGATAATAGACAAAACAAAGGCGTGCGTATAGTTAATAGACAAAACAAAAGCATACATGTAGATTGTAGACAAAACGAAGGCATACATATAAATAACAGACAAAACAAAAGCATGCATATAGATAATAGACAAACAAAGGCGTACATATAGATGATAGTGAGTGAGTGAGTTATTATTTAACGTCACATCGGCA